TTCAAGTCCCACTGGCCTTAACTCCCACAGATTCTCTACCTAATCAAAATTATGATGTACCCACTGTAATCAGTCATTCTTACCCTCCACTGAGAATATCTCACATCCATACCTCCATGGAAATCACAAGCACTAATCATTTACTCTCTGCGTGGCCTTGGAAAAGTAATTTATCATGTCTGAGCCCCAATTTCTTCATCTACAAAATGATGCTGTCTAATAAGGGAGGATTTCCATGAAGAGGAATTGAGATAATATACAAGGGCATACATAGCACAGTACCTCAAACATAGTGAGAGAGCAACAGAAGTTAGCTTTAATCATAATCATCAAAATAACATGACGTTGATATTTGTCATTGATAATTGTTCTAGCTCATGTCATCTCTTCCATGAAGCCTTAGCTGATCTCCAATCTGAGTGCTATTTCTCCTTCTTTTGAAGTCGCCCTCTACTTGTAGAGCCATCCCCATATGACAGGGTATCACAGTGACTTCTCCACTTATCCTGTCTCCTTCTTTATCTGCCTCTGGGTCCTTTGCCTCGTCTAAAAATGAATCCCAGCACTTGGTAAAGCTTTATTTCATGCGGATGTTTCTCTGGATCCTGCAGGCAGGGCCTGAAGAAGTCAATGGTGATCGTGAACTGTTCTGGAAGAATAGGGTTTCTCTTCAGAAATAAAAGAGTACCTCACTGTGCTACCTCTCTGCCTGTGTGGACACACAACACAACACAACCCAGCCTGGGCCACCAGAGGAACCAGCTGGTTGAACTTTGTGAACTTTGTCCTCATGCCCCAACACCCTACTTCCCAAAGCCTGGACCGGTAATGTTCTTTTCACCAGAAAGGACAAGGGCAAGTGAGTGCAAGAGAGAAAGTGGTACATTTATCACTGAGAACCTGCTTGGGAAATGGGGGAAAGGGGAAGGGAAGAGATCTTATTTTCTAAGACTTGAGAAGGGAAAATGGAAGTGGGAGGGAAATCATCTGTGGCTTATGTTCTCTAAAACTCAAAGGGAACTTGCTGCCCCATACATGATGTTGATTAGGGAAAGTATCATCTAGTTACACAGAACCCCACAGCTTGGTAAGCATGAACTCAGAAGAGTCCCAGCTTTCTGATTCATCTGATCCACAAGCCTTGGTCAGCAGGCACACAGTTGCTTTTGCTTTAAGATGACCTCATTTGAAATTCCTTATGTAGCTGTCACTGCCAGCACTAAAGCCTGGTCATTTACAGTAGCTGTCCTTTCTGAATTTAAATCTGATAAAACAGGCTGTTCCTGCCCCACACCTCCTAGGGGTCTAGATCTGAAAGGAGCCCCAGGGATCATCCCATCTAGTCTAACCCTGGCCCAGAAAGGAAGGGTCACACCACCAGGCAGTGCTGAAGCCAGGCCTGCAACACACTTTCCACTACCCCAAGATGCCCCCATTGGCTGTTCAATTTAAGGACATAACCCGTGAAGAAAGGAGATTGTGAAATGCTTCTACTAGAAGCCCAAGGGTGGCTGAAAGCCCAGATGCTTCTCTCTTAACCCTCCTAACCTAGTCCCAGTTCAGCAGTTTGCTTCCCACTGTTTCATGTTAACCCTTTTTCTCCATGAGGCCAAGGCTTGTCTTCCAATGAGCAGCTCCCTATAATAACTAAGCTGGCTTCTGCTTGCACCTTCCCAGACACCTCCACTGGCAAAACCTTTCCATTGAGCAATCTTCTTGTGAAAACTGACTCTTCCTTGCCCTTTACAATTACTCAGCAACTCTGCAAAACAGTAACCCAACTGTTTATTTTGATTTCAAGCTCGGGGTTAAAGGGCTAGCTTTGTCATTTTTTTTTATTCCCCTTGAGGAAGTTACTAGAGACCTCAGGGATTTCTTGTCTTTGACTCTTGACTACCAGCTTGACATGCCTCCATCTTCCACTAGCCCCCAGTCTGTGCCAGGTGACACAGAAGGTTCCAGGAAGGAAAGGGGATACTCCTCCAGAGGGAAGATGCTTCCTAAATGGAGAGTTGGCATTCACTCAACCTTCCCTGCAACCACCCATCCCCAAGGTACCAACCTGCCCATGTTTTCAATGAATCTGACAGGCTGCATCACTATCTCCCATGTTTGTTCTGTAGTTTCAGAGTTTACAAAGCACTCTAACCACCCTCAATTCAGGGGATGTTCAGGACCTCCCTGAAGGGTAGGCCACACAGGTTTGCATATTAGAGAGGAGGTAATCATACATGTTTATGCTTATATCTGGGACTAACCTAATCAAGGTGAGAAATATAGTCAGCCTCTTGACTGCAAGTTCAGTGCTCCTTATCATTTTTCTTCTGCCAGCTACTCCCGTTATTTTCCATCTTGCATATCCAGCTAAAAAGAGCTTTCTAGAATACCATTCTTCTTCAACTGCTTTCCCATTCACAAACTCTCAGCAATGCCTAAATGCCCATAGGATGAAATTCCAATCACTCTGCTTGTCTTTTGAGGCCCTCCAAGGCATGACTCCAAAGTATCTCCCTAACATTATTTCGGCCATGTTAGCCTGGTGAAGCTTTATGAATTTCCAGCAATGTCTTACGCACTTTTTAAACCTCTGGACCTTATTTTTTTTTATTTTTTATTTTTTTTTGAGATGGAGTCTTGCTCTGTCACTCAGGTTGGAGTGCAGTGGTGTGATCTCAGCTCACTGCAACCTCCGCCTCCTGGGTTCAAGCGATTCTTCTGCGTCAGCCTCCCAAGTAGCTGGGACTAAGGTACACGCCACCACGCCCAGCTAATTTTTGTATTTTTAGTAGAGATGGGCTTTCACCATATTGACCGGGCTGTTTTCGAACTCCTGACCTTGTGATCCACCTGCCTCAGCCTCTTGAAGTGCTGGAATTACAGGTGTGAGCCACCATACTTGGTCTGGACCTTATCGTGTTGCTTCCCCATGCCACCCCACAGATCCATCCTCAAGGTGCTTCTTCAATAATGGCACCCATTGCTAGAATATCTCTGGATTCTCTCAGCACACAGTGAGCTCTCTCTTCTTAAATTCCATAGCTTGTGTAAACCATAATACTCTCTGGGCCTAGAGAGCAAATGTGCATCAGGCAGAAATTAAGGCTAGCCTTTACCTGTCATCTCCCACCTCAGCTCAGAAAAGGGTCTCCCACCTCAGCTCACATGCATCTGTTGGTGGTTATTTATTAAATATCAGGTTCAAAAATAGTTTAGGGTAGGCCTTGCCTTCTCATAATTAGACAAATAAGAGAAACAGAAGAAAAAAATATTGGATCAAAGGTACAAAATTTCTATTTTATCATCAAAATATTAATTGTACTCTATCATAGAAGGAGGAGGAAGAGTGGGAAGGAAAAGGAAGACATCGAGAGGGATGGCTCAAGTTTACAGCAAAGGCACCTGATTCCCATCTGTGGTTCTTCAAGGCCCCGTAAATAACATACCCAGTGCTATGGGTTCAATAGCAATGACCTTGAGCCATTTCACATTGAAGTCTTAGATTTCTGGAAAATGTGGGTGATCTTCTCTGCCCAGCCCATCTCACTGGATAATAGCTGTGAAAGTGCTTTGTAAGTGTAAATGCTAGACCTATTTGAGTGGTGACTAATTTCCAAAGGCCAGGCCGCCCCCAACCCCACCTTCAGAGCATTTCATCTGTTAAAATACATGAGACCATTGGGATCTGTGGAAGAGCAAATGCTCCCTTTTGCACCTCTGCTGTTGACTGATGGCCTTCTGGTGCTGGAAATGTCCTGTGATCCTTGGACTATTATTAGGGATGGTTAAACTGGTGGAGGGAGGCTAAAAACAGCCAGCACAGCCATCACTAACCTTTTGGTTTCCCATTTCAGGAACAAGTTTCAAAATAAAATGTTTGGTTTCTTTGGTTTTTTTTTGTTTGTTTGTTTGTTTTTTGTATGAGGGCACATTTCTGTAGTTCTTCACAACACACTGAAAGAAAAGAGAATTTCACTTCGCAAGATTGGGGAGATTGTCTTTCCTGAGTTTGCTTAGCCCCAGCCGTTAACCCTGGAACATTTGTTCCAAACTGGAACTTGAGCCTTGAAGTTCAGCCAAGTTGGGTGGACTTCCTGGTGCCTCCACTGCTGGCCTGTCTGAGCCCTGCCCTGGGACAAATGTACAGGACTCCAAATGGAGCAGAATCTTAGGGAATAGTAAAAGGTTGGGGAGGGCAGAGTTTGGGGTTGTGGGACTCTGGGGTTCTTGCTGTCAAGTTCATATCTGCCTCTGAGTTACCCATGGTAATTTATTCCTCTCATATTTTTTTCTTTATTTGTTATTTAATTCACCAAAATTATATGTATTTATGGTACACAAGATGATGTTTTGATATATATCTAAATTATGGAATGGCTAAATCAAGCTAATTAACATATGTAGCACCTTATTTTTTTGTGTGACAAGAACACTTAAAATCTACTCTCTTAGCAGTTTTCAAGGAGTTAATACATGCTGGGCTTAATACCTAGGTAATGGGTTGATAGGTGCAGCAAACCACCATGGCACACATTTACTTATGTAAAAATCCTGCACATGTGCCCTGGAACTTAAACAAAAAGCCCAACAAAATAATTAAATATATATATATATATAATCTATTGATGTTAACTATAGTCACCACGATGGGCAATGAATCTCTTGAATTTATTAAAATGTTGTATCCTTTGACCAACATCTCCCCAGTCCCACCACCTGGCAGCCTCTGAGAATAACCATTTTATTCTCTGCTTCTATGAGTTCATCTATTTTTTACATTCCACATATAAGTGCCACATTTTCATCCGAAATACCCTTGGGCTCCCAGGCTCCCATGGCCTGGCAGGCTTCAGTGAACCATCCACCTAACCGCCCCACTCCCCTAACACGCATTTGCAACCTCGCTTTAATTACCACCCCCACCTTCTCTAAAGCAGCCAAGATATTTTAAAACCCTTGTTTTGATCTTCTTTGCATATCAGTTACACTATTTCTGAGCATGTTTATTTTTATTTTTTTTTTTCCGGTGGTGAGCCCGTTGCTTTGAGCCCTCTGCTCGCACGTTTCCACTTCCTCTCGCTTTCCTGTGCGCGGCTGTGGTCTCCGAGTGTGCCGCGCAGAGTAGGCTGGGTGATTCTCATGGGCCTGTGGCCTTTGATGGAGCCAGGGGAGGTAGGTTCTTCCACCACTGGTGCTCCATTGCTCCTGACATCTGCAGAGGCAAGATGAAATTTCAGTTGTGTTTCATTTGTTCCATCTCCCAAGGAAGTAGACCTGACTACTAGTCAGATAAGGGAAAAAGGGCCCTTTCTTGGGCATGAAAGAGACTGGGGATTTAGTCCAAACTCTGACACTGACCTTGAGAAAATCCTCTTCCCTCTTGGGATTGGACTCAAAATTACTGAAGCTCCCATGGATTCTAACCAACTGTTTTAACAATTAGCTGTTCTAACAATGTGCTTTTCTAACAATTAGCAAAATCATTTTCATATTGAAGATGGGCTTAGGGTCAGCTTCTGAAATCAACATGTTGGAGACCCAGGGACGATTGAAGTACTCCATGTTCAAGAAGTGATGACTGAGATTTGCGGGATAAACCATCTCTTTGTGATAGGATCTTGTGAAATGTGTATGGTACGACTTGTGAAAAGTCCAAGCTAAACCCTTGTCATGATATACATCTAAATTCACATGCTTCCCAACGTTTTTTTTTTTTTTTGCAGCATACCTAGAACATGGTATTATTTGTACAGCAAACTGGGCAAAAGAACAAGGCCACTCTTGCCCGGTAGCAACCAACTCATTAACTGTGGCTGTGCTGAGCTCTTCCTGGCCACTCCAAAGACTGAAGAGACAATATGTGGGCCTATTTGAGACCCAGATTTGGGAAAGTTCAATTTAAAGGATTAAAACAACTCTTCATCTAACCAGAATAACAAGAGTGTTCTGGCCTATAAAAATCACTAGAGAAGGCAAAACAGGTAACAAAGTGGGTCCTGAATCCAGACCATGGGGTTCAGATAGAGACTCTATCATTTACCAACTCTATGTCTTTGGGAAACACTAAAGCTCAGTTTTTTTCTGTCTTTAAAATGGGAATGATAATATTCTCAGTGGCCATAGGACAAAATAAGGTAACTCATTTCAGCACATTCCTTAATAAATATTAGCTCTGATTATGGCGAATGCTAGTCAGGAAATTAAAGATCATTTGGTCCAATCTTCTCATTTAAACAAAGAAGAAACTTTGACTTGATCAAAGTCACACAGCTAATTAGTAGCTGAACTGGGACTAGAACCTAAGTCTTCTGATTTCAGTCCTGTGCCTTTATATACTAAGGGTATGATACTTCATTCTGTGTTAAAAACATCCGAATTCCTAAGTATGTAGGATGAATTATTTTCCCCCATAAGACATCTGGAAGGTAGGACTCTTCCTATTTGTTTTAAATTAGCTTACCAGCGACTCTGCCTTGAAGCATGGGCTTGAATGAGATGATTTATCAAACGCTTGCCTCCTGTTTCAGGTCGGTAGCCAAGGGCTGGCCTCCTTGGCTTTGGAAGGCACAGAAATGGGTACAGTGGTTGTATATCTGCATCTCAGATGCCAAAGGTTTCAGGTCACCAGTACAGAAGTCCCATTTTACATATGAACATACTAAACTTCTGGTTAACTCAGAGCCACACATGTCCAACAGCAAAACAAAAACTAGAACTTGAATCTCCGACTTGATGCTGGTGCCTATTCCATAGATCTCACAAGGAGAAACAGGATTTAAGATTCCCTGTTGCTGTATACTGGCCACTTCCTTCAACCCTATAAACATGCTGAAGTGCCCTGTGAAGTCAATTATTCATTTAATTGTGCTTTGTTCCTTTCCTTTTTTTTCTACCTCCAGCCACAAATGTTTGAGGCAATTTATAGGAAATACAGTAACGAATAATGAAGAGCACATAAAAATAAACTACAATATCTTATAAATAAACCATAGGATATATAGAATTGTGCTTTCCAAAGTGGCAGCCACAAGGCACATGTGTCTATTTATATTTAAATTAATTAAAATTAAATATAGTTAAAATGTAGCTCATCAGGTTCACAAGCTGCATTTTAAGTGCTCAGTCACCACATGTGGCCAGTGGTTACTTATGGACATTTCAGATACAGAATATTGCCCATGATTGCAGGAAGATCTATTAGACAGTGCTGTCTAGACAGACAACCAAGTCATATATTCTTACACATTTGCAATAAATTTTGGCTCTGAACTTCGTGTTGGCAAAGCCAAATAAAACAAAGCAAAATCAGTTGTGTCATTATCAATTCCTCAAGGGAAGCAAAGCTTTTCTATCACTTAGACCTAAAAGAATTCCTCCTATGGGGCTTTATAGAAAAGGCCACCAAGTGACAGAACAAATAATGTCCTCAGAAACCACAAGAGACAAGTTCAATGTATAATTCACTAAAATTCAACTAACACTTCTCGGGTGAGTTTAGGATACTTACCTGGTTCTAAAGAGAGATACCTTAACAACATCAGTCAAGTGAATTTGCTCTACAGAAATGACATTAGAACTGAGGCCTGAATGACAAGATGATGTAGCCATTGTAGATCCAGAAGAAGAACATCCAAACAGAAGGAAAAGTAAGTGAATGTTCTTCATCTCTGAAAGTATTGAGCAAGTTTGAGGGAGAAAAAGGCCAGTGAACTTCGTGGATGAGGCTGAGAGTGGACGGAGAAGATGCTGAACAGGCAGTCGGGACAGATCATGTAGGGTTTTATAGCTTATGGTGAGAGGGTTTAGCAAAGAGATAAACTTATAATTTATGGCTTTAGAGAGATCAGTCTGGCTACTGCACGAAGAGCTGACTGTAGAGGGAAAAAGTGTGGGCAGGAAGAACATGATAATAGCTTGGAATAAGATAGTCAGCAGTGCAGATGGTGAGAAATCGTCTAATTTGACCGTTTCAGGTTTGTAAAGTCAATAGGACTTGCTGAGAGATTACATATAGGGTTTCAGGGAAATAAAGAATATTATAATGACTCAATTATTTGCGTTGAACAAATAGCTAGGAGGCCAGGTAGCACTTACTGTGACAGGGAATACTTGGGGAGGAGGAATTCGGGGTGGAGAATTCCTAAATTAATAGTTTGGTTTGGGTCACAGTTTGTGTGAAGTGCTTATTACATATACAAGTAGAGTTATGGAGTCTGAAGCTCAAGGGAGAAGTGCTAGAGACAGAGATTTGAAGTTATCTGCATATAAGTGGTATTTTAAAGCCATGGGTCTCAATGAGTTCATCTAAGAAGAGTACAGACAGAATAGAGATAAGAACCCCAGAGCACACCAAAACCTGATGTCGAGGAGAAACAGCCAGACAAGGAGACAGAAAGGTAAGGACAAACCAGGTGAGTGTGGGATCACAAAGCCTAGAGAAGAAAGTGTTTAAAGAAGTATGAAGGATTGACCATGTCCAATTCAGCTCAATACTTCAGTTAGTTGAATACACGTTGACCTTGGAAACATGTAGGTCATTGGTGACTCTGATAAAGGCTGTTTAAGTGGAGTGATATAGAGTCTGAAGAAAATCAGAGCAGAGTTGAGGAGAGAATGGGAGCTAAAGAAGTGGAGACAGGAAATGTAGATCTTACTTTTAAAGTTTTTTTTTTTGTGAAGGCATCAGAGAAAGGGGGTGGTCGCTAAAGGGACATGTAGGGCCAAGGGAGAGCTGGGTTGTTTTTTTTTAATTTTATTTTTAGAAGTTGTTATAAAGGCATATTTGTATGCTGATGGGATAGATGTAATGGAACATCAGAAATTGATGTTGCAAGGGAGAAGCGTAGGAAAGGAGATGGGATCTAGAGGACAAATGGAAGGGTTGGCCTTAGAAACTCTGCCACTTCCTCCACTATAATAAGAGGAAGGCAGTGTATGTGGGCACAGATGCAGGTGGGTTAAGGAAAAATGCAATAACTCTCCTCTGCTAGCAAAAAGGAAGGTCATAATCCCAGGGCATGGGATATGTAGAGCATGGTGGATATTCAAGTAGGGAGCTAAAGGTTTGAAAGAGTTGACCCAGAGAATGAAAAGTGCATTTTCTAGAAGCATCATAGGATCCTCTGGCACGGTCTGTTTCAGGTTTGTGATCAAGAATTTAAAGTGAACTGATCAGCATGGTTTATAATGTTCTGAACAACAGTCTACTGTTTGTTTGGGTGCAAGCAATGGAGGAATTAGAAGATATACTTTTCACCAGGATTGCAGTTTTGCCAGGTACAATAAAGGGGAAGGCAGCAGGGGAATGGTGGGTATTGGAAGGACAGCATTTATGGCACAGAGTAGAGTGAGTTAAGTTTGGACTAAGGGTTAAGTCTACCCAGTAACACAACATCACTGGGCTCCACACATATCCAAAGTGTGTGCCTGGACCCATCAGTATGCCGAGAATTTTCCTTCCCTCCACAAAAGAAGCTCACTACTGACTTCACCTGGTCCCTGCCACATCTAGAATCCCCCTTCAGGGTTTTGCAGCCAATTAGGAACTGAGTGTTGGGCACCAAACTGGGTAGAAGAGGCACTCCTGAGCGTACACACACTTGCAACGGAGTCTCAACACATTATTTAGACCTAAGAGGCTGTGTGGCTGGCAGGAAAATACCCTACACACGCAGAGAGAAGACCTGGGTTTCATCAGTTTCTGTGGCTTTTACCAAATGAGAAAGTTTTTTTCATATCCTGAGCCTCTGTTCCCTCTCATCATAACTCTGGCCTGGGCTTAAATTACAGCTACTTATACAGATCTGATGCGATGGTAAATGTACAACCATTTTCAAGTGTAGGGAATTATGGAGATGTGAGAAATTACATTGTTATTATGACTCTGAAAGGGGCTACCAAATGCAAATCTAAGGCGTTTACTGGTGTGAGATTGATTTCAAATGTCAGCTAATATAGGTCACCATGGCTTATAAGCAATTTGCCTTAAAATTAGAAACTTATGAAATGCTTAAGATGAAAGGCAGTGCATTTCAAAACAGAGGCAATGGGAAGCAAATTTCTCTCTTTTTTGTGCAACATCCTATGAACCCATGGTTCTCACAGGCCCAGGATATTGCTGCAGTTGGCAGCCCGGTGTATTTTGAACAGCACAGCACTAATCCCTGGGTGACTCTGTAATCCTGAGTGAGTCACTTTACCTTTGGAGGCCTCAATCATCTTCTCTGTAAGGTGGGAAGAATTGTACTGCCTCCTTTTCCACTTACAGGGTATCCAGAAGATCATATTTTTTTTTTAAAGGCAAAAAAGAACTGAGAAATACTCTTGGTTACTCTGCAAAGAGGTTGGTGTAAATGTAAAGTGTCACTATTATTAAGTGTGAGGCGATCTTTCCCACCCCCATCGTGTCCCAGCGTTACAATGTGAGCTGTGTGACAGGCTATTTTTAAATTCCCATCTCTGGAAGCATATGGTCCTGCACAGTGCCAAAAAGAGAAAAATGACCTGCTTCAGTTTGTTTGCTTGTTTGTTTTGATCTGATGGAACATTTTCTATGATCCTGTTAAAAGTTGTTGTTTCTACTTTAAACTTTTAAGGTGAGTGCTAAAGATTTTCTATAGCATGGTCTGAAACACACCGTGGCACTATAACTTGCTTAGACAATGGTAAGAGGTCATCCGAGGGCAATGGTGTATTTATACAAATCTTCTGCATTTTTTATGTATCATCTAAGACATTTCAAAAATATATTTTTTTATTTTTTAACAATTTTTATGCTTTTGTTCTCTAATTTTGTGGTAGTTCTGTTTGTTCAGTAGCAGCATTTTTAGGCAAATTTTTTTTTGCAAATATTAGAGCATTTATTTTATAAAATAAAAGATTCCTTTTCTTTAATGTTACCTACAAAAAAGAAGTTGTTTCAAAGTTTTCCTGATTATTATTATTTCTTTTGTTTTATGTTTTATTAATATCAATTGCTATTGACTGAAACCCTTTCCCATGACAAATATACAGTGTATGTATTATAAACTTCATTTTTGCAGTCCCCCTTGAACTGACCTAACTTTTACCTCCTCTCCTGTGCTATTTGGCAAGACTATCCTGAACCTTGACAAACTTCCCACTCATTGGATTTGATTTCTGACACCAAATTCCTGGAAAGATATCTATCTATCTGATCAGTTGGAAAAGAAAAGAGATAAAAACACCTATTTCGCAAGTTTCATGGGACCTGACTTTTGTGCAAGAGTAAAAAATTTCCCCAGTTGAGGTAAATAAAGTTCCCACAAACTTTTTTTTCTTTTTTCTTTTCCTTTAAGGTCCAGGATTCAACTCTCTTATCTTTGGGTCAAGTGACAGATAAAACTAGAATTGATGAAGTTTCATGGCTCTTATCCAATGAAAAAGGTAATTTAAAAGGAGGATGGTAAGGAAAACTCAGAAAGACAGGGCCTGCATCTTCAGCTAGATGATGAAATCAAGAATATGTAAGAGGAGTTTGAAGTGTTCTGTGTGACCCTGGGGGTCAATAAGAAAGCCAACTGAGGAAATTCACAAAAGTGCAAAATTAAAAAAACTTATGAAGTTACAGACATATCCAACATTGGGAAGCTCTTCTTTAAGCGGCGGTGACCAAACTCTCCAGCAATTGATGCACTCATGCTGCACCCATAAAGATCTTCTTCAGGCCAGGGCACAGTGGCTCACACCTGTAATCCTGGAACTTTGAGAGGCCGAGGCTGGTGGATTGCTTGAGGTCAGGAGTTTGAGACCAGCCTGGCCAACATGGTGAAACCCTGTCTCTACTAAAAATACAAAAATTAGCTGGGTGCGATGGCGCATGCCTGTAGTCCCAGCTATGTCAGGAAATCGAGGCACGAGAATTGCTTGAACCTAGGAGGTGGAGGTTGCAGTGGGCCGATCATGCCAGAGCACTCCAGCCTGGGCAACAGGGTGAGACCCTGTCTTAAAAAAAAGACCTTCATCTTCTGTATCTACTTTATCACCTGGCATCGTCTCACCTCCTCCAACTTCTCCACACCATTAATGATCTCCCCCTCCTCTGTACTCCTAGGGGGTTCAGAAGCTCTGGGCACCATTTAAATAGTAAGTACTTCACAGATTTGAGGTGTTATATATCTGTTTTTAGGGGATGTGTCATGGTCTCCCAACAATGAGTTGTAAGTTCCTGGAGGGTAGGGACCATGTCTTACATTTCTTTTGAAGTCCCTTGATGCTTAGCACCTTGTTGGGCACAGAAGAGTAGCAACATTCCTTCACACTCACGGCAGGCTTTAGCGTTTCCAAAGCACCTCCACCTGCCATTCATGTCATGTTCCCAACAACTAGGTGTTTTCCGCAAGGCAGATAATGAATAGTATCTGATGGGTGAGGAAACTGAGGTTCAAAGAGCTCATTACACCTGCAAGTGCAACAGAATTTATAGTCCAGTGCTCTCCCAGCAATAACCATTAAATGAGTAGATAAAGAGCAGATCCTGTGGTTCAAAACTGTGTGGGTAGCCAAAGGGATGCGGCCATGTATTTGGCTACATGCCCTGTCATGTTGATGTAGATTGACTTCCAATACAGGCTAGAGAATTCGCTTTGTGTGGAGGGACTCAGTCTGAGTGACACATGGTCCGTGTCTCTTTGACTCTGGGCATGTTCTGCAAATGAGATGAGATTCCAATAAGAACCAAGAATGTTTTGGGATGTGTTTCTATGGAAGCCTAGATAGAGATCAGTAACCTCAGACATCGCTCTGGGCAACTTCCGGGCCTGTCCATCTCCAGGCATCTAGAAATCTGTGCCCAAGGCAGACAGAAAAGATAAGGGCCTGGAAGAAGCCTTAGGCACCAATTGGACCTCAGTGTTCTTCACTTCTTTAACTGCTAAATTCACCCAATCACATTTAAATAAATTTTATAAGACTTTGAAAATGTGTTTCTGTTCCTCTAGAAATTACCTCTAAATTTTCTAGTATAAACGTCTGCCAGCTTTGTTCAGCCAAGTTCCTTTCCCCCTCTTTCCTTTGACAATGAAAGCAGCTTTGGTGCCAACGCTCAGAACTGGCAGGTGTTTGATGACACATGTTCTGTGATAAATGTTTATTACATAAGTTCATTCAAGCTAGCTACCAGAGCTTTTGAGGCATCACTGCTACTTATCATAAAATTGTCCTTGAAAACCAGAAGCCCAATATATTCCCAAAAGCTCTATTTTTTTTTCTTTCTTCTTTTAGGTTCTCTGTGTTCTATCGACGTCTGGTGCAATGGAGAAGTCAGGAGATGGTGCTTGAATCCTGACTCTGTCACAGGCTGGCTGTGTGACCCTGCGAAAGCCACTTCTGTACTCTGAGCCTAGTTGCTCACTTGTAAAATGAGGAGGTGGAAGCTATGATTGCCAGGGTCTCTCTAATTTCTGACGTGTCCCAATAAGAGGACAAACTGGTGGGGAAAGAAAGCAATTTCAGTCAAGCAGAAACACATGCTTGCCTTTCCTCACCCAGAATGTGCTTTACATAACCGAATTTGCTTCCTTTTTTACTGGCTTGCCCTCCAGTCAGGAGGCAGGGGAGCAGCACGGCTGGCAGCAGCTTGGAGAGGGTGCGTGTACAGGGATGGATGTGGGGAGGGGATGCTGAGGGAGGCTTTGTTGGCGAGTGAATGAGGTACAGGCACCAAGAACTACTAGAATTTTGTCACACTTCTTATTACTGTGATTATGTTATATTAGAACGAAAAGACGCAGGGTATTTAAAGTACAAAAACCTAGAGAAGAACTACTAAGGAACTTCTAGTCCCATGATTATTCTAGATAAAGCATTCAGAAACTTTAGCTATGCAAATTAGATTCGTTTTTGAAGAAAATACTTACATATTAAGAATTTTACAGCTGGGTGCGGCGGCTCACACCTGTAATCCCAGCACTTTGGGAGGCCGAGAGGAAGGGGGTGAATCACCTAAGGTTGGGAGTTCAAGACCAGCCTGGCCAACATGGTGAAACCCCATCTCTACTAAAAATACAAAAATTAGCCAGGCGTGGTAGAACGTGCCTGTAGTCCCAGCTATTGGGAAGGCTGAGGCGTGAGATTCACTTGAACCCAGCAGGCGGAGGTTGTAGTGAGCCGAGATCGTGCGACTGTCCTCCAGCGTGGGTGACAGAGTGCGACTCTGTCTCAAAAAAAAAAAAAAAAAAAAAAAAAATTTAAAATTATCAGCTTGATATTTTTTCCTCCAAAACTTACAACTAGCCCATGTGGAAACATGTTGTAGGTCTTTTCATGCATTAAAGTTTGTACCAAATAAAGCTCACACACTGTTATTTTCTCCATTTTACAAGTGAGAAAACTGAGATGCTAACAGGCCCAGCACACTGTCAGAAGATTCAAATCACAGGTGGCAATGTTGAGAGTTAACACAGATCCCCTTTGCCTCAGGGTCTGGAACTCTCTCTGCTACTGTGCTCTAAGGCATTCTTCCACACTGCTCCACAGAGAGCTTTCCTTGGCCTCAGGCAGAGAGATGAGTAATTACCTGTAAACCGGAATCAGGGTTTATCTCTCTGCTGTCTAAAGTACTAATGTACAATCACAGACTATTAGAGCAGTAAAGTTCCCTAGATATAATCTAAGCTTTTTTCCTCAGCTGAGTACTTCAGTGGTACTCTCTGGTGCTTTTGGACAAGTTAGTGGCAAAATCAGCACTGAAATCCCTTAACTCCCACTTTATACTGTTTATGAGAGTTGGCATTAAAAAACAAAGTGAAGCCAGGCACGGTGGCTTATGCCTGTAATCCCAGCACTTTGGGAGGCTGAGGTAGGTGGATTGCTTGAGGCCAGTTCAAGACCAGCCTGGCCAACATGGTGAAACTCCATCTCTACTAAAAATACAGACATTTCTGGGTGTAGTGGCATACACCTGTAATCCCAGCTACATGGGAGGCTGAGGCAGGAGAAACACTTGAACTGGGAGGCAGAGGTTGTGGTGAGCTGAGATCGTGCCAGTATACTCCAGCCTGGGGGACAAAGCAAGACTGTCTCAAAAGAAAAAAGAAAAAAAATCAAACAAACAAACAACAACAACAACAAAACAAAGGGATTTAGAAGATCAACCACTAAATAAATAGAGTACCAGGAATTATTTTTTTCAAGTCACTTAATAATCCTGCTGGCCAGGATTGGACAGAGTTAACTTTTGCCTCAGTTTCTTCAATGATTTTCATTACCAACCTCACCAATATCATGTAGAGGGACTGAGGCAGAAAAAACTGTTACTGCCTATGAGTCATCCATTCTTGACCTTCAGCATGTTTTGAAAATGTGTTGTGAAATGCTTCACAATCAATAATTCCATCACCAGGCAGTATGAGGCTGGGAGTTATGCAACAGGCGGAACAGGGCATTACTGCTACATCATTCAGGAGACTTCAAATTTCTGTTGTGGGCAGAACCTTCAGCAGGACCTAAAGACACAAAGTCCCCATAAAAGTTTAAAAAAAAAAAAAAAACAAAGAACAAAAAACAAAAAACAGAAACAAAGAGAGGATGGAAGACAGAGGAGAAGTGAACATAGACTTCTTTCCTTGCACTGGATCGGTAAAGTGGGACAAGCAGCTAAGTGTAGATACTCTCAAGCTAGCATGTCTGTTCTTTTCTGTCAATGGCTAAGTTATACTCCAGTGTTACACTGCTGTGAGGCAACTCTTCTCTGTGCCCTAGACAGTGGCTTCATCTCCAGATATTGCAAGTGTCCTAGGTGAAGGAGGTAGCTAGTACAAGGGAAAGGAGCACAGAATAAGGAGGTGAAGACCCAGTTCAAGTCCCTGGCTGCCACTTACAGACCTATGACACTGAGAGTGGTCACATCACCTGTCAGATCTCCAGGACTTGCTGTCCTACCAAGGGTAGATAACATCTGCCCCATAGATTCTACACAGTTCAGAAGTGATGAGGGATGTGAAAACACGTTACAAACTACCCAAAGGCAAGGGACTATTAGTAGAAACCATGAATCTGATTTTGCAAGCTCAGATAGAAGGAGTCTCCCATTTAAAGATGGGCACTGGGGTGTGACTTGTGGTTAGAGGCAAAATCAACGCCTGTGCCATGCAGGTGACAGAGGAGAATTTTCAAACTCCAATTTGTGCCAGTCACTATTAGCTATAAGCAGCAGGGTGCTGGAAAATGTTTAACTGGTTCTACAGTGGTGAAAAGCCCTGAATTATAGGTTTTGCTGATTTCTGTGGTATAAATACTTGCACCATGGCACATTCAAGCTATCAATGTGACATCAATAACCATGGAGTGAGGAAAAGATGCCCACCACTGTCTCTCCCATTTATGCAAGTCAACATACCACTGGAAACTTTTCCAGAGGCTTAGGATGCTGTAATGAACTTCACAAGCCTTCTTGACATACGGGACTCAAGTTTTAACATTCAGCCACAAGCGTCTGCTCAAATAATTCAGAAATGGAAATTCTTATTTTTATGGACATCACTGAGCCCTAAAATACAGTTCTAACATCCTTAGTAATGTTCTTTTCAAATCTGATGACTTGAGGGATCAGCAAGCATAGTGTAATCCGGCACAGCATGCAAATGGAGTCAGAATCTTAGATCGGGCAGTTGCAGTCCTATCTGTGTGATCCTGCACAAGTCACCTGCCATTTCTCAATCTCAGTTTCTTCATCTACAAAATGGGAAGAGCCCTGGTTTTTCCCGCTTCTAGGGCTCCTGTGAGATCAAATGAAAAAATGCAAGTGCAAGAGTTTCGAGGACAGCAAAATCCTGTTTGCCTTTGAATTATTAATATGACTTGCTTAAAAGTTGATTACTAGACTAATCCATGCTGTGCTAGGCAAGCCCTGCACAGGAACTTGAGTCCTCTATCTACAGCACAAGCCCATACCATGTCTCTGCTCAGTTCAGTCAGGCTCAGGCAGGGCCTGCGTGACACAGAGTGAATGTCCCCTAAGGCCTGTGGAGTAGCTCTATTGCATTGGGCCTAGGCGCATCCAAAACTGCTTTTGCCCACAAACTTTCTCAACAAGTAACTTGTGGAGGTTAAAAACATGATCCAGCCCAGGCACCGTCATTCTAGGGCTTTACCATTATCCCTGAAGAGCTGGGCAATGGACTATGCTCAAAAATTTTCCCCAACCAACTTTGAGGCCATATTTGAGGCCAGGGTCTGTTGGTGGGGGTGCCTGGGGAGTCTGCATTTTAAACAAGCACCCTAGTTAATTCAGTTACAAGCAAGACTTGGTCAAAAAAAAATTTATATGGTATGAAACTTGATGGAGCAGAACAAGGAAAGGATTCTCCATTGATTCTCTGCCAGGTACTTGATAGAAAGCAATACTTTTTGAGGGAAATCCTGGCTGTGCAGGGAGACACCTTTATAATCCACTTCCTTGTCAGGCTTCTTTCTTTCCTTCATGCAGTATCACTGCCCCTAGCTACCCAAACACACAAAGGATGGTTAAAATATACAGTTGTGCCTAGGTTGGGCACACAGAATGCCAGCCACTGAGGCTTCTGTGAACAGCATAGCCACTCACTGTCTGCCATCCAGCACCCACCCAAGGCCAGCACAGAGAGATGATTTCAGAGAGGTTTGTCTAAAGCACCGTCTATCCACCCAGTCCTTTATATATCCTAAAGGAAAAGGTCTGTTGATCAACACAACACCTATTGATTCTGTATCACCAGTTAACATATCCTAAAGACAACCTTATTGCTCCATGTACAACATCATATCTTTCATCTGCCTATTTAGTCCACAAATACTTATCAGGCTCCAACTATGTCAAGCACGTATATAGAGCTGGAAATCCAGGATGAATGAGGTTCCATTCCTGTCTTTGAAAAGTTAGTCTTGGAGGATTCAGAAACTAAGCAAACAGTTGCAGCACCATGTGGTAAGTATAACTGAGACTTACACAGGTATTGGGGCATACAAAGGAGGGAAAACCACACTATGGTGGCTGTTGGAAGGGGATCAGGAAAGCTTCCCAGCATAGAAGGGGACCAGGTTTGCAAAGGTGGCAGGAGTTCTAGACAGAAGTACTAGCCCGTGCAAAACACGGCCACAGGGGCAGCAATGTGAACCGGGGGAGCAAGTAGCGCATGTTACTGAAACAGAGAATTCGTCAGGGGTGTGGCAGCAGATCAGACTGAAAACCAAGCAGGTGAAAGTCTTCATCTGCCAGGCCACGAGTTTAGATTTCACCTTGAAAGCAATGGGCAGCCTTTTCAGAAAGATAAGATTTGCATTTTTTATAGATGAGTTTGTAGAGAAGTAGTGTAGAGAACAAGTTGAAATAATAAGAAAGCAAGTTAAGAAGTCATTGAACCTGCCTAGGTGAGAGATGACAGGGACCAGAACTGAAGCAGAGGTGTTGGAGGCGAAGAGGAGAGGAAGGATTTGGAATAAATCAAGGAGATAGCGTCTCTAGGATTCACTAGGTGTGGGCTGGCGGTTGGGGTGGAGTCGCCTAAACAACCTGAGATTTTCTGACAGGGACAGCTTGTGTGTGTGATGCTTTAACCAAGATAATAAACGCAGGGAGAGGAACCAATTTCAGAAAGAAGTTAATGAATGCAGTTTGGAATATGTTCAATTTGGGATGACTCTGAAATATCAAAGTGAAAAAATTTAGTAGTTAATATGAGTTTGCAGTTCAAAACAACGAATGAGATGGAAATATAAGAAGTTTTTTTTCATTAGATGTAAAACTCTTGCTAACGACATATTTATTACTCTTCTAATGAATGTACTCAGATAATGTACTCAGTGATAAATTCATTTTCAAAATTAATGTTAGGAAAAAATGTCTCTCAAATAATCAGGACACATACTTCAATCAGAAAAAGAATATTATGTAAGTCATCACGTTTACTTTTTTGCCCTGCCTGCTGGGAAGCTCAGTTATATTTCATGCTTAATTGCAGTAAATATACCAAGCCTTACAACATAACACATTGACTTTCTTGCTATTGTTCTAGTTGTATCTTTTTATTTGTGATGTAACATCCCATTGCAAGTCCTGTATTTTGAAAGCTGCCTCTGCTTTCGCTGGTAACAAAAAGTATGTATGTTTTCACTTGACATTATTCAGTTAAAGTTGAGCCCTATTTATTTCAAATATTTTTAAGGCTCCCAAAAAGAAGATTTTTTTTTTTTTTTTTTTTTTTTTTACAGTCTATGAGAGTGGCTATTTTTTCCCCAGATAAAAGAAAATTAAAAAACAACAACAACAACAAAAAAACCCACCCTCTTTGGAAAGGGAATTGATCCTCAGGGACTAGAGCCAAGGGAGCCAGAAGCTTTTAGATCATTACAAAAAGCTAGAGCCATTGACTCAAAAAGAGCACCCGAATGGTATGAGGAACAAAACCTGAGCAGATGAGTTCTGACCCAGTCCCTCTCCTACTTCTCAGCCAAGTGGAACGCTTTACTCCCAAGATGAGGTAGGGTCATGATAAAAATAGCATCAGAGAGGGTTTGAGTAAATTTCTTTCAGGTTATTAAGAGATATTCTTAACCTTAGAGAAAAAAAAAGTCATCATCATAATAATTTTTATCATTTAACAATGCCCTTGAATCCATTATCTAACTGAGTTGTCTCCAGTGTTCTGAGGGGTAGGTTAGGGCAAGAACTGCCATCATTCACACCTCATAGATCCACATATTCCCACATAATGTTACTTTGGGCCACTTTTAGGAAGCATATATCAAGCTGAGCTTACTTTCCTTTATTAAGATTATTCACAGTTATGAAAGTAGAATAACAAGGCCTGGTGCGGTAGCTCACACCTGTAATACCAGCAGTTTGGGAGGCCGAGGTGGGCGGATCACCTGAGGTCAGGAGTTCAAGACCAGCCTGGCCAACATGGTGAAACTCCCTCTCTACCAAAAATATAAAAATTAGCTAGGTGTGGTGGTGGGTGCCTGTTAATCCCAGCTACTTGGGAAGTTGAGGCAAGAGATTTCCTCGAACCCGGGAGGTGGATGGTGCAGTGAGCTGAGATCATGCCATTGCACTCCAGCCTGGGCAACTGAGTGAATCTCAGTCTCAAAAAAAAAAAAAAAAAAAAAAGTATAATAACAAGGGCAAATGATATGCCCAGGAGGATTTATTATCCCCTTTTCACCGATAGAAAAACTGAGACTCAGAGACATGCAATAACAAGTTGCGCTCCCTCTTAGCTGCCTTGGTAGAGTTAAAAAAGGAAACATGGAGACCATGTGCTCCTGGATGTTCCCCCATGGAGCCCAGCAGCTTTGGAATCCTCTTGAGCTTTCAGGAGGAGCCCCTACTTCAGGCTTCAACAGCTCATTTACTGGCATAGTGAGATGCTAATGATAGAAACCACCAAATGGACAGTTTTAACTAATCTGACTTCCCCCTTCACTAATGACTGCAGCCACTTTGTCCCACAAAATCAATAGTGGGTTAGAACCCCTTCTTTCCTTCTGGTAGAATTCACCTGCCTCTGGTTTCATCAGCCAAGAGGCCTGAGAGCAGCCAATCAATAAAGCAGCAATCAAAGCCATTTTTAAAGGAGTTGATGAAATTAAGAACATTGGGTTTTATTAAGCCAGGTCCAGAAGACCGTCTTAGCTATGAGACCTCACGCAAGTCATTTCACCTCCTTGTGTCTTAACTTCCATCTGAAAAATGGGTCGAAAATAAGCCCTGTCTGACTCACCATGTAGACTGGTTCTAAGATGACAATTAGGTGTTATTAGCACCTTGTAAATATGTTCGCAGAAGGTGAGGGATACTTAGTCCTATCCATGCAGGAATTTCCAAACACGTAACTCAAGGGGCAGAGAGGTAGCCTAGGAAAAGCAAGGGCCTCGTGGGACACAGACTACTAGGTGTGGCACGTGCAGTGAGGCCTGCATTGTGGTGAGAAGAGAGACACAGGGATGCCATAAGCAGCTACACAAGATCCCTTTCCACATGTACCCAGGCTGACAAAAGTCACCAGAAAATACAATCAGAAACTCCTTTAAAAGAATCAATTAGTCCAACAATTTTATTCCCTGGGGAAGATAAAATTTACACACTTCCTCTAATCAATCAATCCCACAAACCTCTTGAAACTTCAGTCGGAAAATTTGCAAACTGCTAAGTAATACACAACTTTTTTTATAGGTGGCAGACTAGAGGTGGGAAGGGAACGTCAGGCTCCTTAATACATGGAAACGAAAACATGTTGGTCTTTAAAGAGTTATGATGAACTCTCGGTTTTTCAGTAGGAGACTAGAATTTTAAAATCATACACAGCAGAACCAGAAAACCTCTTAGAGGCCATTTTCTAATTTATCCTCCCCCCACCCATTTTACAGAAAAGGAAACTAAAACTCAGAGAGACGTGACCTGCTTCCAGTTACACCACAAGGTAAAATCAGATAAAATCATGAGCTGTGTCCCTTTCTGCATTTAACTCAACACACATTTACGGAGCACCAACCAAATTCTTGCTGGAGAAACAAAGATGGATAAGTCGCAGAATGCATCTTCAAGGAATTCAGCGTCCATTAGGGAGACAGACATATAAGCAGACGATTCCAGCACAGATTGGCATGTGCTATATTAATGATAGAGAGTGCTATGGGAATACACAGAATAGGGAGTGGCTAATTCTGCCTGGGGTTGCCAGGAAACTCTCCACCCAGGAGTGGGCATTTAAGTGCATTGACAGAGTGGAAGGGCATTTCAAGCAAAAGGAAAAGAGTGAACTAAAGCAAGGGGATGGGAGAGAACACAGCTTGTGTGGAAAGCCCCACACAAATAGTTTGAAACAGCTGGAGGGTTTATAGAAGGTGCTGCAAAACCACCTCATGGGATGTCACTAGGTCACAGCTGCCACCCTCCACCTCATTTGGCATGCTCCCTGGGGCTATGGCCTGTGTCCACCTAATGGGCCAGTATAACACCTGGCCAAGTGCCGATGGCATGGTGGGTCTTAATGAATTCCCTTTGAAGATGAGAGGACTGTGAGGGAGAAAAGAATTTGCCACTCAAGTGAGTCAACTGGAACGGAAGGTGTGTCCTGGCTTCTGAGTCCTAGCACTCTGACTGGTTGACCAGACAGCTGAGGTCACCTTCCCTGGGGCCACAGGGTTCTACTTGGGAACATCAAGTCTTTTTTCAGCAAGTTGTTCCTAAGCCACAACACTTCTGGCTTACTCCCTGCCTTTGTAGTTTTACCAACATAATTGATCCCAGAGCTCGGTTTCTTCCATACCCCTTGGTTTCCTAGGGAGTGATGATATATGCAGGCCTCCTCGGAGCTGCAGCACAGCCCAGGCCTCCTGGGGGAGAGCATGGAGGGATATGTAAGAGGCAGACATAAATAGTCTTGCACTGCTGCAGTCATCCTTTTGGGTGCTCTGAGCTTCCTGTCCTGAGCTAAGATTTTCCTCTGGGGTTAGCTGAGGCACAGAAAGATAAACAAAGCTTTAAAGTGACTCTCCTTATTGGAAAGCTACAAGCACTTGCAAGATACCATTTTTTCCTACCTTCTGATGAGCATGTCTAGGCTTCCCATCATCACACCCTGTGAAGACTCCATAAGGTGTGTATGGGAAGAGGAGAGACCACTTGAGTATGAGACGTCTTTCAAGTGCCCTCCCACATATGCTAGGTCTACAAAATGTCAAAACAGCCAGGCAAATCATGCCAGGATTCATCATGGCAGGGAGAAACCAGTCACCCTGATATTCACCATTGAGCAGTCCAAACAACCCTTAATGACTAAGGTTTTTTCCACTTACACCTGGTTCTTTTGCTTTCACCACACAATTGTGTTAGCAAATGAGATCCTTGAGTAAGCAAAACAGGTCCTTCACTGATTCTCTTGTAAAAACACATTCCATATCCTACTACAGATATTCAGAGTCAAGGAGCATTCATTCACCTAGGTTTTTCAAAACACGCCTCCAAGCCATTTTCACCATGTAGTTGCTATGATCTGAAAAATCAAGTGTGTGCACAAGCAGGTAGCCAATGGCTTGCAAGAGAAGGATAACTGGGCAATGAACAAAATTAAAAGCAAGTCACAGATGCAGAAAATACACTTACAATTTATGTAACTGGATTAGTACCCAGAATACAGGAGGAAGAAAATTCTACACATCCATGAGGAGAAAAAAAAAATAGAAATAAATGATCAGACTATATCAACATGGAAAACTCTGAACAGGAAATAATCCTAAAAGAAATGGAAAGATGCTTAACTTCACTAATATTCAAAGAAATGCAAAATAAAAAAATTAGGAGATGTCGTTTCAGACCCATCAGATTGGCTAAAATTTTAAAAGTTGGACAACATGAAATGTTTGACATGATAAAGCAATGACAAAACATGTGGACTCTGATGATAGGACTGTAAATTAGTAAAGCCATTTTGGATAGAAATTTGGCAATATCTATCAAATTTGAGATTTAGTATACCTTGTATCTTAGCAATTCCACTCTTGGTATATAACCAAGAGAAGTTCTTGCATACATACATAAAAATATGTATTTAAGAGAATTGTTTTTAAAAGAAAAAAGTAATTTAAAAGTTCATTAGTAGGAAAAGGCTTAATAATTTGTGATACATTCATACGAAGGGATATTATATAGAATTTAAAATGAATGAACTGAAATGAATGTACCAGTATTGATACATCTAAAATAATGTTGAATAAAAAAGCAATTTTTAGAATAAATCAATAGTATTCATGCAAATTTTAGTAACATGAAGTAATACTACGTGTTGTGTTGTACACATACTTATGGAGTAAATCTACCAAACATGGACAGGACAGATGCATACATCTTTGAGATAGTAGTTATTCTGGGAAGGAAGGAAAAGTGCTGGAAGGAGGCAAGCTACAAAGGACACAGTTATTTTTGGATTTCACTTCTTTAAAAAGTTGAACCAGGTATAAGGATATGTTAACACTCTCAAAAGTCACGGTGGTGGGAATATAAATGTAAGGGTCAGTATAAGTTAGGTTTTGCTGCAATAACAAAAACCCAGAATCCCAAAGGCTTAAAAGAGCAAAGATTTCTTTTTTAATTTCACACATTGCAGGTTGGCAGAAGGCACTGCTTGTTGTTGCCACTTAGGGACCAAGGCTGACAGAGCAGTCACCACCTCCTTGCTAGCAGCTGCACCAGAAGGAAAGAGAGAGCAATTACATGCTCCAGACTGGAAGTGACATACGTTGTCTCCTTTCACAGCTAAGTGGCCCAGACTAGCACCTGGCTTTACCTTGCTCAAGGGGCCAGGAGTGCAATTCTACCATGTTCCCAGAAATGGAAAGAACTGGAAATATTTAGCTAACAGAGTGAAACTTCATTACAGTGGGTGTTTGTTACAGTACTTGTCATCCTTTTTTACATGTTTGGATTATGCTTCATATTTTACACAATAGGAAAAAAAAAAAAAAAAGCCCTGGTTTTTAAATCAGGAAGGGTAAGTTTCAGTCTGAGAAATGGAAGGTGAAAGAGTCAGTGGGTGGCAGACAGCAGTGGACAGAGGTTGTCAGTCCCATAGATTTGCCTATTCCCAGGCCTGTCTCCATGATTGTGATATCCACAATGATGCTGCAATTATCCCTTCTTCAGAAATGCATGTCCATGTAAATGACTCCAAGCAGGTTGACCTTTGCTTTTGTTTCTATCCACTGAGGCTGAGTAGCCAATAGGAACCCTGATACAAAGAGATGTGGTATGCAGGGCATGGATTATAAGGTCCAAAGACTTCACTAAGTCAGTCCCAGCTCTGCCACTCACACTTCCTGTCACCTTGGGCAAATTGCCATAGTGCCCGTGTCTGTTTTCCTCCTCTGTAAAATGGGTATAACAATGACACTAAGTCTCTGAATAGTTGTGATAAACAAATGAAGTATGTAAAGTGTTTTGTAACTGTAACGTGCTGTACAGAAGGTCACTGTTACTAAAGACCTAAATTTCACTGCAAGGGAAGCCTCAGTCCAGATTTACATTTCTGGCCGACAATGACTCACACAACTTCCTTCACCAGAGCCACCTGGTTGACAAAATAGACCCAGGCATCATTCTGTGGTCCAACTACTTAAAGAATCTATTGATTTCCCCTTGCGAAAGTGAGTCTGGGAGCAGGGATTAAGCATTACTGCAGAGATTCCCCGGGGAGAATAAAGGGAGAGGCTATGATTCCTATGAACACGGCCTGAATGGGGAGATGCTCTAGGCCTAGATTGAAGCCTGGGTCTCTGGGACCCATGGAATATTGGAGCTGGAAAAGCACACAAGGGAAACAGTGACCTTTCCCACCATTTTTGAAATGAAGAAATTTAGGCCAGGAGGGGCAAAAAGGATGACCCTTCTCAAACAGCAAGAGAAAGAGAATCAAGAGATCTGGGATTTATCCTGGGATCTTCTATTAACTAAGGGCAAGCCCCTTTTTGCCAAATGCCTGGTTCCTCATGGGCAATTAGGGGATTGAACCTGACCTCCATGGTGATTTCTAATGCCTGTTATCTTAAGCGACACTCAGTTCTAGTGAATGTAAAATGCAGTAGAGTTCTCCTGAGAAGTGAGCTTTCTGGTCCAGGTATTGACTTTGTAGGTTTGGCTCTAGGAGTTATCTTCTTGTCCCCCTATTCACTCTCTGAATGCCACCTATTTTCCTGCTAAAACAACAACAACAACAACAACAACAACAACAACAACAACAAACTGCTTCTTGGTGGCTTGCTTATTTTTTTCTTAGACCTTGGAGCCTTCATGCTCTTGACTTTCCTCTTACCTAACAAATACTCTTACCTGCCACTGTTACCTGCTCTGGGGGCTTGGCCAGAATAGCCTTCAGTGGGTAGCAAAGAACATGAGACAGAAGTCTTGCCCTTAAAGTCACTCCCAGGGGATGCCCTGCATGGCAATATTGCCGCTGATAACATTTCCCCAGAGATCACAGGAAGCTGTGCAACCAGACGCAAGGGTATGTCTGATCTACTGGCAGCAGGTGCATCCTGCTTTGACAGGAGACACAAACTCTACAGGAGGATCTCTCATGCCATATTACCTAGGGCCTTGCCCCTGAGGCTGGCACAGGTTCTCCTCAGAGTTTGCACTAACTCATTCTGCCAGCAAGTCCCAGGAACAGAGAAAACACTAATGTCTCCATCCGTAATGATAAAAGGTAGCCATCACACCTGCAAGGCACTTCTCAGTCTGCAAAGCACTTTCATACCCATTAGCTTATTTGCTTTTTATGAAGAACTGAGAGGTAGCTGGGGAAGAGATTTTTCTCCTGTGTTATAGATGAGGAAGTTTATCTGAGGCCCAGAGAGGTTAAAGAATGTAAGGTCAGATCTTTTGATTCTAATTCCTATTCTTTCCCCATGGTACTACTGAAGTATTATCATCTTATTATAAAATTATATTAACAATCAGGCTAGAGGGCCTAAAGCACTCTCAAATATATAGTTACTCATCAGCTCTCTTTTGCCCTTCAATTAACAATTTAGGAGGAGAAACCATTTCTGAAACCAAAACAGCATTTACATTGTGGTTTGTGTATTATCTGGTGTCTAGAATCCAGGTCTTTAGTTAACCTTTTCACCCCTTGTCCATTTTCACCCCTAACTGGGTTTTTATGTTGATCAGTATAACTGGAAAAGGAGAAGCAAATGCTGTTGTATCCATCATCATGTGGGTGTCTGCACCCTCAAAATGTCTCCTTAAAGGGATTTCCAAGGTTGAAGGTCATAACAGGAACTCTGTACTGTTTAAGACCTGTAATGATTCCCTATTGCTTAGAGGGGGCTGAGAACCAGTAGCATCAGCATCACCTGAGAGTTTATTAGAAATGCAAATTTTCAGGCTCCACCCCAGACCAACTGCATCAGAATCTATATTTTAACAAGATCCCTCTGGTCACTGGTAGAGTCCTTTATTTACCCCAACTGCCTGTGAAGGCAGCACCGTCCAGTCATACATTCTCGCTTCACATCTCGCCTTTGCTCCTGCAATTATTCCTTCCCCTTGTTTGTCCCTGGACCAAATCCTTCCCATTCTTTAAAGTCTGCCTCCGCCAAAAAGCCAAGCCAGAACTTCCCAGGAGTGAGTAAACTTTCCTCCCTCTGAATCCCAGTGCCACAGGCCCTGCACTTTCTATCTCAGATTATGATTTTTATAATCATGATTTATCTCCCTCTTTAAATTATGAGCTCTTCAAAGTCAAGGTCAAGGTCTGATGCATTCCTATATTTCTGAAAGCAGCACAATACTTTGCAAAGTTCCTACTGCAAATTAGTTCCCCAATGCATGTGTCCATAATATTTCTTTCTGTTTCTAATTGAGGTATCTAGAGAGATTAAGAAATTCAGGTTATTATTCTTATTACTTTAGTTAACAATTACCATATATGATTATAATCTAGACTTGGAAATATTTACCTAAAATATTCAGTCACTATCTTCAAGCATACATACACACACTCCCCACCGTGAATACACACACTCCCCACCGTGAATACACACAAGCACTCTGTTCATTTCATTTGTTCTTCATTGTTAGGAGAATAGTTGGTCAGAATTTATTGAAAGTATGGGTGAAATGACTG